CCCCAGCCAGTGGATTGTGGTGGACCCAAGGCCACAATTGGCCAGTTTCACCAAGAGGTGATCATGGGATACCAGATCGAAGGCTTTTTTGAAGTCAAGATATATGACATCAATCTCTTCTCCCTTGTCCAAATGATAGGTCACCTGGTTGAAGAAGGAAATGAGATTGGTCAAGCAAGACCTACCCACAACAAACCCCTGCTGGCTATCCCTCAGCCGCTATATATTATAGGTATCAGTTGAACACAATGTTTTATTGATATATTTACAATTTTAAAGCAATTTGCAAGCCTACCACTTCCTCAATTACTATCATAAAATACATTCTAAATACCTGTACATTTTGGTGTTTGATTTTGGGTTTTATATCATGGAAAATCAGAGCTCCCGCTGCCCCCTTTGCTCCCCAGGATGTGGGTCCAGCTGCAGCTGTCCCCCTCCCCACTGCTTTGTGGCACTGAGCAGCCCTGATATGCTGGTGACCTGCCAATGCCATTGCCCCTCACTCATAAGCCACAGCCCCCCACAGCTAGTGCCCCTCACTCCCCACCCACAGCCCCCTGGACCCTGCCAGTGCCCCTCACTCCCCCCAGCCCTGCCCAGGGGAGGGGAGGCCCAGCTGCTAGGGCTATGGGGCCAGAGACCACAGCCCCCTCCCCTCCACAGCAGCCCCCTCCCCTCCACAGCAGCACCCAAGCCCTGGCTGCTGCCCATGAGAGGTGGGGGCTGCTGTGGTGTGGAGTATGGAGCTCAGCTCCCCCTTTCTGTCCGCCATGGGTGCCGTAGCTGGAGCAGAGCCTGGGAGGATGGGGAGAGCTGCAGGCTTGGCCATAGGGGCCAGCTCCCAGCCACTACATTCACTCCCAGATTTGTGTGTAGGGCAGGTGTGGGCTGTAGGGTCTGGGTTCCCCACCCTGCTGCCCCCCCCCCCAGGGGCAGGACCCAGCATGGCAGCACAGTGAGGCCAGGTGCCACTGCCGCGAGCTCCGTGCCACCATGGCAAGATGCCCTTCATGCCGCCACCCCCATTACTGTTGGGCAGGCAGGGGGTGCCTCACCAAGGCAGTGTGGGGCTTGCAGCAGCATCGTGCTTCCCCATCCCACCTGCCATCGGAAGTGGTTCAAGCACCTACAGTGAACACCTTCAAGAGTAAATTGGATGCTTCTCTTGCTGGGATCCTATGACCCCAGCTGACTTCCTGCACTTTGGGCAGGGGGCTAGACTCGATGATCTTCCAAGGTCCCTTCTAGCCCTAATGTCTATGAAATCTATGAACTAAAGAACACGCTTTTTAAGTGATACTTAGTATGCATTAACCTACTTTAATGTGTAGTAACTAAATAGCGTGTTAATTAAATAGCACAGTTTTTTTAAATGATGCTTTAATGCACATTAAAATAGGATAGTGTGCATTAAAGTGCATGTGTAGATGCACCCTAACAGTGGAGGTACTTGATTTCATGCACATTAACTAAAGTGTGTTAATGCATGTATAGACATGCCCATTCAGTTTCAGTGTACTATATCTAAACAGATTCCTTCCCACCTTTTACAAAGGTTGAATAGCTTGCAAACACTCTCCAATAATAATTTCTTATACAACAGATTTAAATGGGGTGTCCTTGCCTTTTTTGTAAAATAAAGGGATTACTTTTGCAAGTAAATACAGGAGGAAACCTGTAGTGTGTGATAATGGAAAATGAAAGCGACATTTTATCCTAGCACAGTTGTCTGGGAAGTTAATGCGTCTAATTTCCAGAACAGTAAAGGTAAATATATTTTTCTGTTAAATGGATTTTGTAAGCTTGCACAATATCAAAACTTGAAGGAATGATTCTGGGTCTGGTAAAACCATCCATATATCCTCAAAAATATTTTGGGAGATTTTGTAATCTGGCTTTCCAGTAGAGCCGTAATCATCCTTTGCATGCTTGCTGTGATACTGCATTCCCTTTTCAATTGCCAGTAGGTGGCACCAGATAGCTAGGCCAGTCTGAAGGCATTGGCTTCAGTTTTGTCCCTGGAGGGTTCATAGAGGGTTTTTACTGTATTGACCATTGGCTGTAGGTTTTAAGTATTTCTTTCCTGACTGCTGTGTTATTTGGAATCCTTTACTATGTGAAAATGATATGTCAATAATGATAGTCAAACTCTGTGTTGTCCTAAAGCCCTGTGAAGTCTGTCCTATAAATCTGTGGACATTTAATGATGCTTTTGTAATGTCACAATAAGCCTAAAATATGTAAACTTCATCTCAGTCAACTCTTGCCTATTGAATTATTAGTTTAAACTGTTGGCCCTGACAGTGCACTCCTTACTAAGGTAAACATCCATTGAATTTAAAACCTATAGTGCCGAGGGAGGACTTTAGGCTTGGAATAGTAATTGACTTGCTATTTTGTTACTGGCGTAATGCAATGGGTTATAGAAATTGATGGAGTAGTGGTGATGAAGTCATAAAACTAGAGAGTTTATTGAGTAATTATTAAGGCTTCCTAGCCTGATATAATTCTGATACCCTGTTTGTAATCCTGATATTCTATTTGCATTGGCTTTTTTGTCCCTTCTTTCTTCATATTTTCATGCATATAGATTTTATCACTGTCAGTGCCTTAGGAAGGGAATTGTGCATTGCCTTTTACCCTTCTTTTTGATTTTTTGCATGTTTATTCATTGCCTCGCGCACGTTGGGCACAGTTCAGGAGAAATGTTCTGCATATGTCTACACACTTCATTTGTAAATAATGCACTTTTCTTGGTAAAGTTTGATGTGTAATAGTAATGTGTAATAATAGATATATATTATTATATTATGTATTTTGTGTGCATGGTTTTTCCTTATCAAAAGCAGGTGTTACACTTGCACTTTCTCAGTGGTACTATGAGGGGTAGCTCATCAGGTCAGGTTTTGGCTTGGGCAGCACAGTAGTAGATGGGCATAAGTAAGATAGGCATAAGTAAGGACTGACTTTGTTGCGGTTTAGGTTTGGGCATCTTGGGGTAACCAAGCACTGCAGAGTCACTGCTGCACCCTAAGCAGGTGGGGGAGAATGGGTAGAGCTTTGGTTCCATACTGCCAAACCAGAAGTTACTGATGCAAAGTGAGTAATAATATACTGCTAGTGTAGCAGTCAATAGGATGTTTGGCCCTCCCTCCCTTCCCCCAAAAAAAGATGATTTAACACCTTCCTTGCACTCCTCCTTGGGTGGCATCATGTGGCTTGGTGCACATGGGCACACGCTAGGGCTTTTTGCGGGCTGACTGCAGTCAGCATGCCTTAGTCATGTTTCATAAGCAATGTCATGCAGACCAGTGTCTATGAAAATAAAAACTGAAAATTGTGCCATTGTTGTGTCTTTATTGTACCATTTGGCAGATGCACATTCTCTTTATATGTAGTGAGGTATGAGGGTTCTGCAAGTGCACGGCCAGTAGAGCTACTGTCATGCGTGGAATCGTAAAATTCTTTCAGGAAAGCAGTACCTTATTTATGATGTTCCAGGAAAGAAATGTTTTGCTGTGTTTCTGGATTGGGAAGCTTTTGTGTCTTCTGAAATCTACAGGGGCTATTTCTGATGCTTATGAAATAGAAGCAATTGTTGTTTTTCTGTTTGTTTGTTTGTTTGTGTGTTTGTTTTTGTTTGTTTTGAAACCAAAAGCCCTGACTTTATGTCTGTTGTTTTTTTTTTTTTCCTTTCAACAGAACTTTTTAAGGAGAAGCTGATGCTGAGGACGGGTTAGAGTGTTCAAGATGACGACGACAGTAGCAACAGACTATGACAATATTGAAATACAACAGCAGTACAGTGATGTTAACAACCGGTGGGATGTCGATGACTGGGACAACGAGAATAGCTCTGCGCGACTCTTTGAGAGATCTCGTATTAAGGCCTTAGCAGGTAAGGATTCAAGTGATGAGACTTCATTGTAGTTGGGTGACAAAAAAAGATTTCCATTCACTAGATACCTGATGCTATGAGTTAGTTAATGCTTGGCATGCTATTGCAAAACAATATATATCTTTGAAATCTTGTTATAACTAAACCTGAAATTTTGCCAAGGTCAAATAGAGCCTGGTGGTGCAAAGTGCTCCATTCCCATTGAGATACATTACTCCTCCTGATTCCAGTGAGACACTAGAGGGAGCAGTTATTAACAGAATCAAACCCATAGTCGCAGAGACTTCCTTATTTATTATATTTTGAAAAGTCCAAATATCAGACTTCCCTCCCAAGAAGGGCCTGGAATACACAGAGGGAGGGAGAGAGTTGATTTTTTTTTTTTTTCTTAAAAGAGTGTGTGTGTGTGTGTGTGTGTGTGTGTAGGTTTCAGTTCAGTCTTTTTCAGATAAGTTTAGGTTAAAATCATTTTAAAATGTGCCCCCTTCAGTTTTGCATATATTTGCTTATGTTAAAAGAAACGCCCAACAAGCCTGAAAGGACTAAGATTTTAGACCAAAACCCTTAATAGACTGGAGGGGTACTCTGTATTTTATATGTAATGTTTTTGAAGGAGAATACTTGCAGTGTAGGCCTCTATGACTTGAATAAAGAAGCCTGTTTATTTCAGTAGCATGCCATGGAAGTAAATAAAATATAGATAGGTTTGAGCCCTGTTCATTCTTTCTTAAAGTGCTGGTGGGTCCCAGCCTGGCTTTATTTTATATGCTTTGTTCACTGATGATAACAAGATAATAATAGGGTTTTTTTTATATAGTTCCTCTATTTTTTACAATATTGATGATGTAACATGGATAAGGATTAGTAGCTACTGTACTTGTATACCATACTGTTTTTGGAATAAAAAAGGCATGGCAGGCCATAATAAAATGGTATGGTAGGCTGAATCATTTCCTTTTTGGTCTGTTCTGGCCTATTTTCTCTCTCATCATATTCATTCACAGTATAGAAAAAAAGAGACCCAGTAGTGCCTGTTAACAATATCTATTCTAGGACCTGACTTGTCAGCTGAAGTTGGTGCGAGTGACCCTAAATCCTTGTTGGAGTTTAGACCTTGTTCTAGAAAGGTTGCCTGGGAACTTTCATCTTTAAACTTTCAATTTTGTTCAAAAGGAGGGACCAGGGAGTTAGCTCAGTCTGTCTGTATTAGTGTAATTAATTTGCAAAATTGTGCTGTTTGTTGAATGCTTATGGATGTGTATAGATGTATAAATATGATGAACTTCTCATCATTATATTGAAGATGTGTTTAGATGATGCATTGCTTTATTTTTTTGAGCTGAGTCTTCACACACCTTGATGGAGGATATCCTACATTCTTCACCTGGGTGTAGATATATATATTGCAATTCAAAATAATATGGAAGAGAGGCTCGTAAGTTTTAGAAGTAAGGATTTATGGCATAAAAAACAGATTTCCTCTTGGTTAAATCATTGTGAAACAACAGTAACTTTGTGAAGTCAGTAGAATTGCTCCAGATTGACGTAAATGCAACTGACAGCAGTATCTGTTTCTATTCAGTTTGTTTATCCAAATGCACCTAGCAGGTTCTCTTAGGCAATGGGGAATTTCTGAACTGAGGGTGTAATGGTAACTGTTCCATCATTACTAGGACACTCCAGTAGAGAAATAGACTATATCTTTGAAAGAGCCACCTGGATACCTGCTACAATACAAAAAGCATCCCCTACCCTTCTGCCCTGTGACCGCACACCCATGGTGGTCACCTACCACCCCACATTTGAACCAATTAGAAGAATCATCAAACAATTGCAGCCTATACTCAATAAGGATCAGACCTTGAGATAAATATTTCCAGCCCTTCTACTCCTGGTTTTCAAACAGCCCCCTAAACTTGTCCCACTCATGATGAGAAGCAGACTCCTTACTGGTCAGCAGGCATCAAATGGAGTGCAGCCTTGCCTTAACCATAGATGCAAAATCTGTCAACACCTCTCCACTGCTACATCACCCTCCACAGTGAACCCAGCAGAATCCAGGCCTTTCCCAAAATGTGATACTGTACCTCTGATACAGTGTACCAAATGCCCTCATGGTAACCACGTGGGTGAAACTAAACAGCAACTACACACCAGAATGAACTCTTACAGAAAAAATAGAAAGGACAGTGATATACAGACGCCAGTAGGAGCACATTTTTCTCAGAACAACCATTCCCTTTCTGATCTTCCTACCCTTGTGCTAAAGGGAAATGTACCAATTGCTTCAAAAGGTGATCCTGGGAACAAAAATCCATAAGCTGTCTGGATACTAAGACAAGGTACAGACATTACATTTTTACCAGTGTAAGTGACTGGAAACCAGTCTATACCTGTAACAGAAAACAACGTTTCAGCCCACATAGACTGGTTTAAAAATGGTGGAACCTGGTTTAAGATTTACGCACCCCCCCGGCGCAAATGTGTGCTTGGTTTGTAAGAACCAAGGATCAAACACTGATATTGACTTTATGACATATTATGATCTACCTGATTCTTGAAAATTGTTCTTCACAGTACA